TGTAGAAGCTGCTAAATCTTGGGTTGTTCTGACTGTGGCTCCATGATATTTATATGGTTTCTTTCTGGCTGCTTGCAATATTTTCTCTTTTACCTGGGAGCTCTTGAATTTGAGTATAATATTCCTGGGAGTTTTCATTTTGGGATCTCTTTCAGTAGCTGGTTTGTGGATTCTTTCCATTTCTATCTTACCCTCTGGTTTTAGGATATCAGGGCAGTTTCCCTTGATAATTTCTTGAAAGATGATGCTCTTTTTCTGATCATGGCTTTCAAGTAGTCCAATAATTCTTAAATATCTCTCCTTGACCTATTTTCTAGATCAGTTGTTTCTCCAATGAGATATTTCAAATTTTCTTGTATTTTTCATTCTTTTGATTTTGTTTTATTGTTTCTTAATGTCTCGTGGATTCATTAGTTTTTACTTGCCCAATTCTAGTTTTTAAGGAATTACTTTTTTCCGTGAGCTTTCATACCTTTTTTTCCATTTGGCCAATTCTGCCTTTTAAGGAATTGTTCTCTTCAGCGGATTTTTGTGCCTCTTTTAACATTTGGCCTATTCTGGTTTTTAAGGTGTTATTTTCTTCAGTATCTTTTTGTGTGCCTCCTTTTCTAAGCTTGTGACTCTCTCTTGCATCACTTTAATTTCTTTTCCCCATTTTCCCTCTGTCTTTCTAGTTTGATTTTTGAAATCCTTTTTGAGTTCTTCCAGGGCTTGAGATCAATTCACATTTTTCTTTGAGGCTCTGCATATAGCTGCTTTGACCTCAGCTTTGATCTCATTGTTGTCATCATCATCTTCTTCTTCTTCTACTTTTGTCTTCACTATCACCATAGTAACTTTCTATAGGTTTTGTTTTTATGTTTGCTTATTTTTCCAGTCTTTTCCTTGACTTTTAACTTTATGTTACAGTTGGGCTCTGCTCCTGGGGTTGAGGAAGCACTGTCCCAAGCTTCAAGTTTTCATGCTGCTATGTTTAGAATCAATTCGGGGGGGGGGGGGTCTATAAGTTTCAGTTCTTCCAAAATGGTAAGATCTGAGGAGAGATGTGGTCACTGCTCTCCTGGTCTGTGCTCTGGTCTGAGTCCACAAAATCTCTTTTCCATCCTGGATCTGTGACCAGAGTCCCTGCTCTTCCTAGTTCTCCTCCTTGCCCTGGGACTGCAACCCAGAACCAACCATGGGCAATGCAATAGAGTCTTGCACCCAGTGCCAGCATAGGATCTCCTATAATCTCCTTCTGACTAGTTTTCCAACCCCTTTACCATCGGTGGGCTAAGATCTCTACAATGGAAGTTGCCACAGCCCCAGATGATTCAGTCACCCCCAAGGCCTGCTACTGGTTTGCTGAGGTGCACCCTGCTTAGGCACAGCCTACACGGGTCTGCACTTCATGCTCACCCCAGTGAAAGAGATCTTTCTTGCCAACCTTTTAAGTTGTCTTGGACCAGAAAACTGTTTCACTCCGTCCCTTTGTTGGTTCTGCCACTTCAGAATTTGTTTTGAGGTGGAAAGAGATTTGGGAGAGCTCAGGTGAATTTCTGCCTTTATGCTACCATCCAGTCATTTTTAACCTCTCTGAGCCTCAGTTTCTTCATCCATAAAACGGATATAAAAAATAATAGTACCTGTTGTACTTAACTTACAGGGTTTTTGTAAGGCTCAAATGAGATGGTATATCTATAGCACCTTGTAAACCTTAAAGTGCCATATAAATGTCAACTATTATTATCAATTATGTACATAGCAGTGGAAGGATTGGGAAAGTCTATATGCACCTAGTCTGGTGAGATAAAAATAAGCCATATTTTTTTTTTTTTGGCCTTTGGAACAATACTGACTGGTTTCAGAAAGACCATGTTTCAGATTCCCTGGTGTTGTTTTCTGGCTTTTAACTAAATTTGATAACATGAATGTATGAATAAATAAAACATTAAGGCACTGTCTAAGCACTGGAGATACAAATAGGAAACCAAGCAGTCTCTGCTCTCAAGAAGTTCACATTCTAACGGAGGAGACAATGCCTGGAAAATATCTGATGGAAAAGTTGCATGGTCCTTAGAGTGCAGCAGTCAAGCAGATGGTAATGCTTCATCTGTACTGTCACTTCCACTGATAAAATCTATGGATATTTCCACTTTTAAAAATCAACATTTTCTGATATTGAACCATTTAACAGTGCCAAGAAACTTGGGGGCAAGAACTTTCTTTTCTGGATCTTCTGCAGCTGTGGGTAGAAACTTATATCCAGAGTACAAACTGCTACAGCTAAGACAAATTGTGATGGGTTAACCACTAAAATGTTCCAGTTAAAATTAATCTTCATGCTGACATGATCAAAATCTAATTAACCATCCTGATTTCATCATTGAAAGACATGTTAAGTGGGGCCCCTGTTCTCAAGGGCTGTGCCAGTGGGACACATGCTCTGGCTCTCTCTAAGCTGTAAAGGCTTCACCTTATCAACTCAGTGAAGGACTACATGTCAATCAGCCAAGGACCGGTTAGCTAAGTTCCAGAGAGGATCTTCAGCAAAAAACTAGCCACAAGTTTAAAAGTTTTTTTGGCCACAGCAATTCCTGAAGCCCGTTTCTAAGGTGTGGAAGAGTTGCCATCTGTCAGTGGGGAAAATGCCAATAGTGATCGGATCACAAATCTCTTTAAGTACTAGATTATAATTCTCTCACACACATAGTTACTGTTTATTAAGTATTTTTCTCCCAACAATCCTATGAGATAGGTATAACAAATATCATTATCTCCATTTTACAAATGAGGAAATTGGGGCCTAGAAAGGGCCTAAGAGCTTTGCCAATGGTCACAAATTGAGTAAATGTCAGAGGTAGGATTATATTGTGGGATTACTACCCCTGGTTCAAAGTACTATGGATTTATGTTACTAAAACTATGGCTGAAGAGCTCTCACCAATGTGTTGCCCTGTAATAGTCATAGGGCACAACTATCTCAAGGCAAAGGCATTTACTGATATTTGTAGAGCACTTTGAAAGGCATTTAGAGCTATATCAATCCTAGCCATTATTATTATTAAATGGAATAGTAAGAAACAAAATGTAATCTTCATAACATAGAGAACACATGTAGCCAAGGCCCATATGAGACAGAGCAATTCATGCCTTCTCTGCTGTATAGTTGCTGGGACCTTCATACTATTTCCCAGATTTTAGTATTATAGTCATACCTAGATGCTGTTCCCCTGGACCCTGCTGGGTGTTGCTTCATCAGATGTTGCTTAGCTGCTTGGCTACACTCACCATGGCCCACCTCTAGCTTTTGGCTCAGTTGACATCCTGGACTACATTCTAAGGCCATAAGGATGTAAGACTACTAAGCACTTTCAGAAAAAAAGGGAGCCCATACCCTAAGAACAGGAGAAACTTTTCCACAGGGGATTCTCATATCCTAAGCAGGATCCCATCTCCTGGCAAGAGAATCTTCACTTCTTTTACCAATTCAGCTTTACAGTTGGGCCTGTGTTCTACTGGATGTGAGGGTTGATAGGGGTGAAAAGAAGAAATCCCTTCTCCCCCTCTTCCCCTTGTAGCACCTACCAAGAGATGCAAGAGAAAAGTAGTAGTAGGGGTGGTGGGTTAGTTGTGTCCAACTCTTACTGACCCCATTTGGGATCTTCTTAGCAAAGATATTAGCATACTTTGCCATTCCTTCTCCAGCTCATTTTACAGATGAGGAAACTGAGGCAAACAGGGTTAAATGACTTGCCCAGGGTCACGCAGCTAGCCAGATTTGAACTGAGGTCTTCCTAACTCTAGGCCTGGCACTCTATCCACTGTGACACCTAGCTACCCTGTAGAAGTAGTGGTCGCTAGCATTTATATAGTGCTTTAGGGTTTGCAAAGTACCTTACTTGTTATTTCATTTGAGTCTCACAATGACCCTGTGAAGTAGGTGCTATTATTATCTCCAAATTTTTACTCATGAGGAAACTGAGACAGACATAGATTGAGATACTTGCCTTGGGTCACACAGAGTCTGTGGCAATATTTGAACTCAGGTCTTCCTGACTCCAGATTAAACACTCTATCTCCACTGCTTGATTCTCTATCCACTTACTATATACTCTATCTGGTTAGGTTCCATCTTTTTAAATAAAATTCTCCATCTTTACCACTTGCTCACATAAATGAATGGGTGGAGAAAATGCCTAGTTCCAGTTCTGGGCCAAATTTCAGCTGAATTTCCTGACCCTTTCATATCCAAATGAGCCACTCAAAAATCTAACACCTTACACTGACAATATCTGATGATATCTGATCCTCACCGAATCCATTTTATGGGGGGGGAGGGGAAGATGCATTAGATCAAGATTCCCCTAACTGACACCTCCAGAGAACAAGTATATTCTGGGCCAGTTCCATATTTCATAGGTGCTTAAGCACATTAAAGGGGGAGCAGGAAACTTGCACAAATGTGAAACACCTGTATTGATACCAAATCAATGATATGGCTGATTATGAGAAATGGCATCACGATGGACTCTGGATATTCTGCCCTTATTGGATTTTCCCTTTCTATGGCTTTAAAGTAAAATCCGGCACTTGAAGGAAGCATTCTTTCCAGGACTTGTCCAGTCACACGGGTCACAGCATTAAGAGGATCTAGGTTCAAGTCCTGCCTGGGTGACCCTAGGCTGGCCAATTCACTTCCCTTGGCTTCAGTTTCTTCATCTGTAGAAATGAGTGGTTTGGGCTGGATGGCGTCTGAGGGGGTTCCTTCCAGCTCTAGAAATCCCACGAACCCCAACTTTAAGTGGGACTCCCCGCCCCCAGCAGATGGGCTTCCAGTGGGATCCCAGCATCCCCCGCAGCGGCGCCGTCACGTGACACCTCCCTAACCGCGGCGAGCCCCCGGGCAACGAGCTTTCGAGGGCTTGGGAGAGGGAGGGGGAGGAGGAGCCGAGCCGGGAGGAGCTCCCCCCCGCGGGCGCCGGAGGAGCGCGGGGAGCGGCCAGCGGCCCTGGCTCCCTGTGCCGGGGGCGGGGGCGCGATGCTGAGGGCCCAGCGCGAGCTGCGGGGACAGCGCTGAGGTGAGCCTGCCCGCCGCGGGGGCTTCTGGGAAGGGGCCCGCGAGGCCGGGGGCGGGGGGGAGAGGGGGGAGAGGGGAAAAGCGGCGCCCCTCCCCCCATCTCTTGGGAGAATGGGGAGGGGGCCGAGCTGGGGGGGAGCCGGAGGGAGCGCTGGACCCGGCGGTGCCCGGCAGGACCCTTGACTCCGCCTTCTATGTGGGCGTCTGTCTGTCTGTCTGTCTCCGTGTGCTTGGCTTGTCTCTGTGTCTCTCTGTGCTTTCTGTGCCTCTCTCTGTGTGTTTGTGTTGTCTCTGTGTCTCTCTTTGTCTCTGTCTCTGTGTATCAGTTTCAGTGTGCTTGTGTTGTCTCTGTGTCACTTTCTCTCTGTCTCCGTGTGCTTGTGATGTCTCTGGGTCTCTCTGTGTCTCTCTTTGTTTCTGTCAGTGCCTGTCTCTGTGTATCTTTCTCTGTGTGCTTGTGTTGTCTCTGTATCTCTCATTGTCTCTGTCTGTGCCTGTCTCTGTATATCTGCCTATGTGTGCTTGTGTTGTCTCTGTGCTTTCTGTGCTTCTCTCTGTGTGTTTGTGTTGTCTCTGTGTCTCTCTCTGTGACTCTGTCTTTCCGTACCTCTGTCTGTGTCTTAATGTACCTCCGTCTGTCCCTGTATCCCTCTGTCTATGTCTCTGCCTCTGTTTCTATCTCTCTGTGCCTCTCTCTACTCTGTCTCTGTGTCTGTCTGTGTGCCTCCCTATCTCCTTGAGTTTCATTATCTCTGTGTCTTTCTTGGTATGTCTGCCAATCTCTGCCTGTCATTGTGTACGTCTGTAGCTCGGTCTGAGTCTGTCTCGGTGCATCTCTCTTTGCCTCTTTGTCTCTCTGTGCCTCTGTCTGTGCTTAGCTAGCTAGCTTAACCTCTATGTGTGTCTGAGTCTCTGTGTCTGCTTCTTATGCGCCTCAGTCTTCATCTGTCCCTGGGTGTTTTTTTTGTCTCTGTGTCTCTCTGTGTGTCTATTTGTGCACCTCTCTATGTCTATCTCTGTGTTCCTGTCTGTAACTCAGTATTAGTCTGTCCCTGGTTGTCTGTGTCTCTCCGTGCCCATTTATCTGTCTCTGATTCTCCATGTTTGTGTGTCTGTGCTTATCTTTGTGTGTCTGTCTGTCTGTGCCTCGGTCTGTCTCTATCTTTGTGCGTCTGTATCTCAGACTATGTCTATCTCTGCATCTATCTGTGTCTCTGTCTCTTCCTGTTTCTCTGCATCTGTCTCTGTCTGCTAATATATGTTTCTGATTCTCTGAGCTTCTTTGTCTCTGATTCTCTGTGTCTGTGACTGTCTCTGTATCTGTGTCTCTGTAACTACGCTCATCTCTCTGTGTGACTCTGTCTGGAGATGTGTTTTTGTTTGTCTTTGGGGCAGTGTGTCTGTATTTTTGCTTGTGTGCTGATGTGGAGACACTTTACATGGATTTTAGATTGTCAGGGCAGTCAGGAAAGTGTGCCTGAACTCCATATAGAGAAGCTAGTTATGCTTAAATGGAAGAAGATTGGTTTCCTATTTTAATTTTTGTTCTCAGATTTTCATAAAATATTGCTGAGGTTGAAACAAAATTTGTGTAATTCTGCTAATTTCAATGAAAAAGGAGCATGTTTGAATAGTAATTTCTTTTTGCTGTATTTCTCTGTCTCCCTCAGGAGGTCATGATTTGACCCTGTGAGGAGAATGCAAGGCAGAAAACATAAGCGCAGATACACGTAGAGTAGTGTTTGTTCATTGGACAAATATAGACTGTTCTTCCAAAGGTGGTGATTATGGAGAGACTTAACTTGTTTTGCTTTTTCATTGTTTCATCTAATGGTTTCCCTCAAGTCTTTTAAAAGAAGACAAATTCCATTCACAGAGTAATTTCAGCACATGGAACATTTTGGTGAATCTGTTATTTTATTTTTTCTTTTAAAAATAGATTTTGTGTTGGGAAATGGCTTTCCAAGTTTTTGTTCTTTATGAGGAGTGTTTACAAGTAATTTTTATTTATGTAGCTTATGTGAACTAATCGAATAGGAAAGCTTAGAACTAGAGACTTTAAAAAAGTTTAAAAGTACTTGGTGATTTTAGCAGTTTAGATTTAGAACTGGAAGGGACCTTAAAGGCCATCAAATCCAACCCCCTCATTTTTCAGATGATATTCATCTGATAGCCCAGGAAGTCTTAACCTTTTTTATGTCATGAACTCCTGGTGAAATGTAATGTTTTTAAAATGCATAAAATAAAATACATGAGTTACAAAAGAAACTAATTGTTTTGAAATGTAGTTGCCAAAATATATATATATTTTTAAAGTTGATGGACCCTGGGTTAAGAACCTCTGTCCAATCTAAACTTCTCATTTTTTGGGTAAGGAATTGTGGCCATAGAATTTAAGTGATCTGCTCAAAGGCACAGAGATACTTGATGACAATTAGAATTAGAACCCAGGTCTTCTAGTCCCCAGTCAAATTCTCTTTCTGTTTCAGTCTGAGAGGTTGAGACCTCTCAAAGACCAGAATACAGGACGACGTTGTCTGAAATGAATTCACAGACTCAAGCATTCTTTGAGTCAAGTTGGCAAAGATTTATTGTTATGCTTTTCAGTGGGCAAGGATTCTTAAGAAACCTGTGAGAGACTGAGGATTGAATTAGAGTTTATATGGAAAAGGGCATAGGAAAGGAATGCCAGGGATACTGAGTAGGTAATCTAAAGATCCAGGTGTCTTTGGGAGCTATGTATGGGAAAGTGTAGGGAGTGTACCAGACAGGGAGGGAGATGTCAGAGGATCTTGGGAATCTGGTGGGAGGAAGAGTCCCGGGCCAGCCAGGGACAAAACTCCTTGGACCAGACAAGATACCCCTCTCTCTCTGTCCTGATTAGAGAATGCTCTGCAACAAGGGAAAGTTTTTTCACAAGACAGGAGCTTACTAAGGAATTGGGAGGCTTCCAGAGACATGATATTAGGGCTAGGAGCAGCCCAGCATTCTCTCACCCAGCTTTGTGTAACTGCATCAGGGAGAGAGATAAGTGTTTTGCTGAGGCCCACTCATGAGTAATTGCCAGGCACAGTGTCCTTGGGCTGGGGAAAAACTGCCAGGGATAGTGTTTCTGAGGCTAGGGAGAAATTGGGGTCCAAGCAAGGTGCCCAAGCACCCCATCATTTCCACTATACTAAACAGTCTCCAAAACATGTTTTAAGGTTATTTTAGTTTTGCATTTGGTTTTTGGGCCACTAACCAGTATGTAATGAGCACTAGGAGGAATAGGATAAATAAGTCATGATTCCTGCCCTTAAGGAGCTAACACCTGCAAACAGAGAAATGTAATATAAATTAAAATATAAGTACTTAAGAGGAGTGTAGTGCATGTCGACCTGAAAGTTGGTTAAAGAGACAACAAGCTAGGAGATAAGTAAATACATATTATTTTATTCCCTTAAGTTAGTGCATGTACATGGAATCAGAGCTTTAACTCTGACTGACTCAAGCAATTGTAGGAGGACATTTAAACCCTGACTCAGGATGTCACTGTTACTCAAAAAAAAAAAAAAAAAAATACAGCCTCCATGTGTTTTTCAACATATAGCATGGGAAAGGAAGTTTCTTAGTTGAATAGGTTGTAAATACAATAAAATAGGCGAATGTCAAAGTGTCAATTGAAATTATAGATCCAGGATATCTGTGTTTCCCCTACATAACATATGTCCATAGGATTCAAAGATAAGAAAAGTCCCACTGTTCAAGAGAGTGTCCAGTCCCAGGTGTCCTGTGCTTAGTGATCACAAACAGGAAGAATGCTGGTCAGTTCCATCTGGTCCGGTAGTTACTGACACAGGAAGAGGCATTTTTAGTTCACTCAGAAAAGATTAATTCAAGTATTTGGCCCTTATTGCGGCTGAATTGATCTTAAATGATTATCAAGGGCTATGAGATCCTGTAGGGGAGAGATCACTTGAGCTGGGCATTGGGAGAAATGAGAGGAATTAGGGAAGACTTAGGAGCTGGCATTTGACCCTGGTCCTGAATGGGTGGGGACGACATTCTAGGAAAAGGGAATTCCATGGGTGGGGAACCTGCAGCCTGGAGGCCACATGTGGCCTTCTAGGTCCTTGGGTGCAGCCTTTTGCCTGAGTCCAAGTTTTACGGAAGAAATCCTTTTATTAAGGGGATTTGTTCTGTGAAGTTTGGATTCAGTCAAAGGGCTACACCTGAGGACCTAGAGGGTCACATGTGGCCTCAAGGCCGCAAGTTCTCCACCCCTGCCAGCATAAACCAAAGGTACAGAGAAAGGAAAGCCAGACTCCATTTAGGGGTTACCCTGTAATTTGGTTTCGTTAGAGTGTGGTACCCCTACAGAGAGGACTGAGAGATAAAGCTAGGAAAGAGGTTGGAGCCAGAGCTGGAGGCCCTTGAATCCCAGATTAAGGAATTTGTATTTTGTTTTGTAGCTATAAGGTGCCATTAAAGGTTTCTGAGCAGTTGCCTTGCCGAAGGTTGTAAACTCGTTAGTGGCAGAGAAGGGTCTTAGCACTGTACAAAATGAAATATCTAGTCAAGAAGTTTATAATTTTACACTCTGTCTACACAGGACACTTCCTCTGATACAGAGGTGAAAGAATCATCCTGATGGCTAGGGTTCTTGCCGTAAATGCTAAATTTATTCAGTTGATGTGGGAGCCTGCCTGGTAACAGAAGTAGATGGACTCTGGTTGGCTAATCAGTGAAAATGCATTCCCTTCTTTTCCACCCCCAGAGTGTTTGGTGAGTGGGAACAAAATTCTGCAAGGTTTTACTCTTTAATATTGCAGAGAACCATTTAATTTCATAAACATTCATTATGCACTATGCTTGTTATAGAGGAAAACACAAAAGTAAGAAAGATCTGATCCTTCCCTTTAAGGACTTTACCACAATCTGGGGGAGGAGGAGGAGGAGGTATGGAGAGATAGTATGTAAATGGATCATATATGAAATCTGAAGAAGGTTAATAATGTGCTT